AAACAGTTTTCAATAGTGCATTTGGTCTCTTTATGTAACCAGAGACCTAAGTCATACGAACCATGCCTAATCACTGGTTACCTAAGACATGCAGGAGAAGATCCTTCTTAGAAATTGCCAAACTAAACAGCTATCATGGCTGTTGGACAAGAGTAAAAGAGAGTACCTAGCTAACATTCTTATAAGTCCCATAAGGGGGATAGGATCATGATGTTGGTTTTATCCACATATCTTTTTTTAAATTAATTAATTAATTTTTAGTTTTCAACATTCACTTTTATAAGATTTTGAATTCCAAATTTTCTCCCCCTTCCTCCCCACCCCCACCCCAAGATGAGATGCAGTCTGATATAGGCTCTACATACACAGTCATATTAAACATATTTTCACATTAGTCATGTTGTAAAAAAATAGAATTAGAATCAATGGGAGGAATCACAAGAAAGAAGAAACAAACAAAAAAAAAAGAGGGCAAATAGTATGCTTTGATCTGCATTCAGACTCCGTAGCTCTTTTTCTGGATGTGGATAGCATTTTCCATCATGAGTCTTTTGGAGTTGTCTTAGATCTTTGCATTGCTTATCCACATTTCTAAAACAACAATACAACAATTTGTTTTCATAGTTATTTTATTTTTCCCTATCCTAGGATCACAGGATTTGGAGCTGGAAAGAACTTCAGTGTACACTGAGGCAAACCCATAGCCAAAAGGGATCTTCACTACAATTTAAATGACAGAGATTCATCCAGTTCCTACTTAAAGATCTCCAATGAGGGAGAACCCAATATCTCCTTGGGCAGCCCATTCCTCTTATAAATAGGTCTAATTATTAGGAATATTTCCCTCAATTCAACCATAAATTTGCCACTTTTCAACTTTCAAACATTACCCCTGATTCTGCCCTCCCAGTCCAAACAAGTCTAATCTTTGCAAATAAGTCTAATCCTTTTACCATGAGTCAGCCCTTCAAAAACTTGAAGATAACTCCTAAACCTTGCTTCTCCTCCCCCCCAAAAAAGCTTCTCTTCTCCAAGCCAAACATTACAAATCCTTTTAATGAATTCTAATCTGACACAAAGTCTTTCCTCCATCCTGGAATGAGGAAGGAGTACATTTCGGGCATGGAGAACAGTTTGCACAAAGACATAGACTAAAAATTGAATGCCAAGTATTTCAGCTGGTAAGCCAGTTTGACTGGAACATTAATAGACTGAAGAAGAGTCTAGAAAGGTAATCTATTTTCTTGTTGTTGTCGTTTTTTTTGGTGAGGCAATCAGGGTTAAGTGACTTGCCCAGGGTCACACAGCTAGTAAGTGTCAAGTGTCTGAGACTGGATTTGAACTCAGGTCCTCCTGACTCCAAGGCTGGAGCTCTATCCGCTGTGCCACCTACCTGCCCCTAGAAAGGTAATCTGGAACTAATCTGTGAAGGGAGTTTAAGTGTCTAGCTAAGGATAAGGATATTCTATCAAAGATGCAATAAAGGATTTTGGGGCAAAGGAGTGACATGTTGACAGGTATGAGGAAGATGGATTAGAAAAAGACTAGAAGTAGAGACTAATTAGAAGACCATTACAATAATTCTGGTAAGACATTATGAGTCTGAACTAAACTGATGGCATTGCTAGTGGAGAGAAAGAGATTTTCAAAACATCTGCCTCTAGTCAAAACCTCCCACTAGTGGCCCTCCAGTTCTTTAGGTGTGCCCAGGGGAATTTCTGGACCACATGTTGGAAAGTAATGGTAAAAGGGGCAGAGCCAAGATGGCAAACTAGCAAGAAGAATTACTGTGAGCTCTACCTTATTCCAAACAGTTCTAGAAAATGCACCAGACTGAATCCTGATCAATCAATCCAGGAAAAAAAAATCAATCACTCTTTCTAGTCTAGGCTGTCAAAGAGACACAGACAGAGAGGTCCACAAATGCTGGGCTTTGGCCAATAGCACACCATGGGGAGTATTCTAGAAATGGGCAAGTCCACACACCTGGGCACAAAGAGGTTCCAGATCCAATTTAGAGAGGATTCAACTTGTGTAGTGAGCAGAAACAAGTGCCAATTGGCAGCTTTGCCACTCACTACTCAGCTCTGGGTAATAGATCTAGGGTGGGTTGAAAAGGGGAATTGGGCCCAAGGATGGCATTCCAGGATGAGGAGTGGTCCTAGGTCTTGGGTGTGTACTGAATGAGAAGCAAGTTCAAAAGCAAACAGTCTCCCTGTGGCTTAGACCCTAGGAGAAGAACAGGGTCTCAGTTGCAATTTCCAGCCCAATCTCAAGAACTTTAGTCTCTAGCCACAGCAGCAGCAGCCCAGATGCCCAACTATCTTATGGAGACTCAATAGTCTCAAGTTAATGACAATAATTACTTATTTCTTACAGCCTGCATGGTGAAGAGGAAGTCCAAATCTCCAGGGTAATAGGAGGAAGAAAAAAATAGCCAATCCTGGATTTTAGCTTTTAACTCTCACTTCCTCCTTCCTAATGTGAGATTTCTTGCCCATCATACACTTTCTGAGACTCACAGACAAGGTAGGTGCAAAATGCAATCATGAGGACTACTCTGCCAGTTTCTCTTAATCATCATCATCATCTCACACCCAGGGAAAATAGTAATTCAAATAAATAAAAAAATAACAGGCACATATCTGTTTAAGAATTCTACCTCTAGCCATAGTTTGAAGGGTAAGCCTACCCCACATCTGTTCTCTTCTAATTATTATATTCAGGTTGAACATTCATTTTGAATATATTGTGATATCTGGTAAAAGGCATTGGTCTAAAACTAACTTCCACCAAACTGTTTTCCAGTTTTCATATGACTTGCTGGTCTTCCCCCAGTAATTTATGTTCCTGGGTTTGTAAAAAACTGAGCTACTGCTTTTGATTGTTTCTGTTTCTTACTTATCTATAGTCTTGATGACTCTTGCTTTATAATGCAGTTTGAAGTCTGATAATGCTATGCCCCAATTCACTTGTATTCTACTCTTAATATATCCTTTGAGATTCTTATAAATTTTGCTCTTCCAAATAAATTTGGTTATAATTTTTTCTACTTCTATAAAATATTTCTTTGGTAAATTTATTAGTTTACCATGAAATCTATAAATTAATTAAAGTAGTTCCATCATTTTTGTTATATTGGGATGGTCCAATTCTGAGTATTGAATCACTTTCAAATTATTTCTCATCTTTTTTTCCCCTATAAATAGTGTTCCGTAGCAGTCTTTATGTTTTTTTCTCTTGTCTTGTTAATTTACACAAAATTATTTTACATACTTTGTAGTTGTTTTAAAAGTAACTTCTCTTTTCATAATTACTTTCTGGTTTTTGTCAGTACTGTATAGAAATGCACATTTTTGTAGATTTATTCAGTATCCTACTATGAATCACTGTGATCAGTTTTTTCTCTGATTCTTTATGATTTTCTAAATACACCATAATGTCATTTGGATATGGGATAATTTCATCTCATATTTCCCAGTTTATACCTTAAGTCTACTCTCTTGGTATTGTGAAGTGAATAGAGAGCTTGGCCTAAATGTCAGAATGATCTGGGCACAGGTCTCATCTCTCACATATTGACTTTGTGACTGTGGGCAAGTCACAATCTCTCAGTGCTTTAGACAATTCTCTAAGACTAAATTCCAGAGGAGGTGCTGACTCATATTAATAGAGAGAATTTCCTTATCTAGGAATTCTATATATCAATGATATCAAAGGTAGAATATTTGTCCCTTTCTCTTGTCATTGCTTTAGCTAGCAGTTCTAGAACTATGTCAAATAATAGTGAAGAGAGAAAGTATGCATGTTTTACCTCTGTTTGTACTGGAATAGCTTCTAATGTTGCTCTACTGCAAATGGAGTTAGCTTGTATCATTTTAGATAAATGCTTTTGATCATAGTAAAGAAGGGCACTTTGAAGCTTGTTCCTTTTAAAATGTTTAACAGCAATGAATGCTATATTCTATAAAAAGCTGTTTCTTCATATTGTAACATGGTCATGTGATTTCTCTTGATTATATGACTGAGCTCATAGGTTTTCTTAATGTAGAATTATTCTTATATCTTTGGTATTAATACAATTAGATTATTGCAAATTATATTATGTATCTATAGTTATAGTCTTCTCCTCTTCTGCTCCATAGATTTTGTCCATTGATGCTTTATTACCTTTCACAATGTTCTTCAGAAAACATGCAAGGATGTTTTAAAAAGAAAATTTAAATGTTTTTGTCCATCACATTATATGAAAACATACATTTAATATTTTAGTCTTTCACCTATTTAACTTTCATCTACTTGATGTGCCAGTGTGTTGAATTTCCTGCTTGCCTCTTGGTTCTTTTGAAGGACTAGGGTTTGTTTGTTTTCTTTTGCAAACATCTAATTATTTTTATTGATAATTATGTTCAGAATTACAGGATGTTATTTTGGGAAGACAGCCAATATTAACTTTTCAGAATACTGTATTCCAATTTTTTCTTTTATTTCTTGTAAATAAGGAGTAATCCTGTGCTATTCTGATTTTCCTTTGAAAATGAAAGGGATTGAGGCAGTGAGGTGTCACAGTGGATAAAGCACCAGCCCTGGAGTCAGGAGGACCCAGGTTCAAATCCAGCCTCAGACATAGAACACTCACTAGCTGTATGACTCTGGGCAGGTCACTTAACACCAATTGCCTCACCAAAAAAAAAAAAAAAATGAAAGGGTTTTTTTTTTTGATTGTTTGCAAAATTTGTTGTTTGTTGTTGTAATTTTGAAATATGATTACAATGTTCCTTGGTGAATTAATCTTGGTTTTTCCTTCCTTTGGTACTATGTGCTTTCAATATTTCTGGGCGATTTTCCTATGTGGTTGCCTTAAGTACTTTGTTTTATTTTGTTTTGTTTTGTTTTTTTCTGGAAGACTTTCCCTCCTTTTCTATGTCTTATTTTGTTTTGTTTTGTTTTTTTCTTAGAAGTCATAATTTTTTAGATTATCTCATACTTTATCTTAAAATTCATCATTTTTGAATTATAGAGCTCTCGTATATTCTTCTGATCATTTTTCTTAAGATTTGGCTCAATTAATTTTCCTTCTGCCTCTGCATTTTTCGTTCTAAATTGGTTGTTCTCTCTGTCTTTGTCTCTCTGTCTCACTTTGTCATCTCTCTGCCTCTTTCTCTATTTTCCTCTTTTCTTTTGTCTCTCCCTCTCAGAGAATCTCTTATTTTGAAAAATGTCCCTGTCTTTTGTTTTAGTGTCATTATACTTTCGTGAATATCCACTGTGGTTACCCTATTATTGGAGAATTTTTGCTTCATGATGGGGTTTGACCCTAATAGGAAACTGTTTCAGGCAATCCTCTTGAGAATAACAATGATTTTTGGAAGGATTTTGCTCAATGCTGTGGATTCTTTTAGGGGAGGAAATGAAAAATAATGGGTATGGAAGACAGAAGAGACAGTATAGCCATTATGCTTTGTAAGGTACAAGAACTTTAGAGGCAATCAGCAAATGCGGTACTTGGACAATAGTTACTAAACCCATCACTATTAAACTATTCACTATTAATTGGTGGTATAATGCTCTCATGTAAAGAGCAAGATGGACTGGTGCTGATGTAAAAGGTTTGCTGAAAGAAATGACACCATCTTCTATATCTAGCTATCCACTGTTAGCTCCTTCAGTATCCAGTGTCCCAGAATCAATAATACCCTGCCAAGTAAACAGTGTCCCAATAGCAACCCATGTAGGGATTAATCCTATATTATAGGTTAGGCAGTTAATCAACCTGTAAAAGTAACAGGTTACTCAATATGTTAAGTTGTAATTATTCCAAGTACTATATAGAGATTTATTTGTTTGTTTAGGTTCAGACCTCTGATTTCATCAATGTAGAGAATTCCCAATATGGAAACTTCTCTACCACTGCAGATTAGCAGCTCATTTGTAACTTCCCCCCCCTTCTCCCAGTTCTCCCTAACTAATTCCTAGCGACCCTTAAGGACAAACTCAAATGGCATGTCCTTCATGAAGCCCTTCCCTGATTTCCCCAACCAGACATTTTCTTTCTCTGAACTGTATAACCCATTGAATCTCTTTGGTCACATTTTCATATTATTCCTTATATCGCAGTGATTTATATTCATTTATCTGATGTCTCTCATTATAAGCTTTAGGAGGTTGAGAATGGAATTTTATTCTTTATGACCCTAAAACCAACCCTTTATCCACTACGTCACATTGCCAAGTATGACACTGAAGTAATACAGCAGTAAGGAACTAATGAAGAGCCTCAGGGGACTTGATTTTGATATGTTTCTTGAACATCATTCTGAGCTCATGGTACTCTAGTGCTTACAGATTTTAGATAGCCACTTTAGGTTGCTGAGAGCACCTGTTGAGTTCACTCTAATAGGAGGAAGCTACATCCAACTTTGTATTATGAACAGAAAGGTTGTTTGAAAGGGCAATAATCAAAGGAGCAGAGGAGCAAGACTAGGCTGATTCATATGACCAGAAAGTTTAAAATAAAACTCTATGAATGTACCTATTATGAGTGAGAGACCAATGAACTTCAGATATTGCCAAAGAAGTTTGGACTAAATCTGCTGGAAAGAAATAAGCAAATAGACCCACTCCTCCTGACTTGGCAAAGGAACCTTGGACCAGATATTAAGGTGATTCTGTAACAATTAAGCATAAAGAAACTAAGTTATCTCTTGTTATTACCATGAATAAAATGAAGGCACACATTAGGTATGCTTAGGAGGGATCCATTATTAGTTTGCCCAATGCTGAAGCCCAATGGACTAATATTTGGAATGGAGATGTGGGTGTAGGCCACTCTGTGCCACAAGAACTATAATCACTGACTCATGATTCTTTCTTGGGTCCTTCCCATGTGGGACCATAGAATGTCATGTAGTGGTGACAATAAGAATTGCAGCTGTGGTATGTCTTCTTTTGCTGGACAGTGGAAACCAGATAAGTATATATCACTTCTCCCAAAAGGACAAAGAAGTTTAGGACCAGAAGCAGAAGCCAGCTACTTCTGTAATAGCACTAAAAAAGGGCGTGTAAAAAGGCCAAGTGCACTTTGCTACCTCTGTAGATAACATGAACACATGCATGATTGGTGTCTTTATGTGGGAGAATTCTTCATTGGTTGTCAAAAGTGGAAGTTCACTGGACTCATGTCTCATGGGAAACCCTGCAACATTGGAAAAGAAAAAGCACCTATAATAACTGCTTATGATAATAATGGTGATTTTCTTGGCAAAGATACTAAAGTAGTTTGCCATTTCTTTCTCCAGTGGCAAACAGAGGTTAAGTGACTTACCCAAGGTCACACAGCTAGGAAGTGTTTAAAGTGGGATTTGAACTCAAGTCTTCTTGACTCCAAACCTAGAGCACTCTCCAGTGTGCCACCTACCTGCCTAGGAAGACTTAGGAATACATAAAATGGACTACCAGACTCCAATAACTGGTAATTGGCTATGTACTCTTTTCTTCGGTCCATTAGAACAACAGAGCTTCAATTTTTTGTTTGTTTGTTTTGTTTCACTTATTTAAGCCATTGGAAGATCGTTTTTCAGTCAGGTCTGATTTTTTGAAATCCCATGTGGGGTTTTCTTGGCAAAGATATTGGAGTGGTTTGCCATTTCCTTCTCCGGCTTATTTTACAGATGAGGAAATTGAGGCAAACAGGGTTAAGTGACTTGCCCACAGTCACACAGCTAGTAGTGTCTGAGGCTGGATTTGAACCCAGGAAGATGAGCCTTCCTGACTCTAAGTCCAGTACTCTATCCACTATACCACCTAGCTGCCTAATAATTTCAATATTCACATGTAAACCTCTTTAATTCAATAATATACTAAGGGACTTTCTCTAAGAAATGATCCCAAGGAATCTAATGAAAAGATTCCAAAAATTATACTTAAAATATCTCTAGGCATTTAACTAATATTCTAAGATAAATGTATTATGATTTTAAAAAGTTGTAATCAGTTTTAAAAGCAAGAACTTTTTTATTTAAACATCAGTAACAAGAATTTTCAAATAACAGTGCTTGAAAAGTCATTAGTACAATTAATTTCTCAAAAACAATTGCAAAAGTTGGTTTTCATAGGGTAAGCATTAGTGCCAAATCAGTAACTCTTCAAAGTCACTTTGCTTCTGTTGCAGCTCATGGATGTACATTAATCTCCTGTTACAAAGTGTTACTGGGGGAGCTTAACATTTCTTTTTTCATATTTTTCATAGAATTTGCATGTTGTCATAGTTATCATAAAAATTACTTTGACTAGTTTGAGAAAGCTTACTCAAGATTAACACTGCAGATTTTAGAACCATTATGAACATCAGAAATGTGCCTTTTGGGCTTCAAAAAAGAGACCCTGGCAGATAACATTTTGTCCTTCATTGTTGGATTTAATTACAAAGACAACTCCAAAAGAAAGAACCAACCATTGACCTACTTCCCAAGTTCTTTTTAATCAGACTGTTTCAGCAACTGATTAGAATTCACATGTTCATATATATGTATATGTTTATATATTTATATACATACACATACAGTAAGATGTTCTTGCATAAAGTTCTTCTGGCACTGGTCACTTATTTAAGCCATTGGAAGATCATGATAAGCTGCATATCTTCCAGTCACATGATGGTAAATCTAGGAAGAAATTTTTAAATTTCAATTTTAATTCAAAAGATAAATAATAAAATTCTTAGCTCCGTAGGCCCCAAACCATCTCTCAACAGATTTCAGCTAAAGGATCACAGAATTTAGAAGAGGAATGGTTAGAAATTATCTAGCCAAATTTCTTCATTTTACAAATGAGGAAACTGAGGCCCAGAGAGGTTAAATGATTTAACAGTATTTACAGAGCAGAGCAGGGATTGGAAGAGAGGCCCTTTGTCCTCAAAGCCAGTGCTCTTTCCACCACGCTACGCTGACTCATCAGGGATAGATGAGGAAAGGCACAAAAGGGATTTGACAATAAAATGAAACAGATGGATTTTCATTTCCAGTTTTGGACTTTTAAATCCTCTCTGGAGAAAACTATAATTTGCAAGTATTACACAGAGAGATATGCAACTTTTAATTTGTTTCTCAAAAACCCATGCAGACTTAATTGAATAGGGGCTGGGGGGAGTCATACCCTGATGTGAAGGTCTTCCTACAACTCACCTGTCTCTCAATGTCAGAAAGCAAAGCGCTGGCTCCTATGCGAAAGAGCTCTGGTTTCAGCCATTCATCCCCAAGCTCTTCTTTAATAAGTGAGAGCCAAGCAATAGAATCCTTTGCAGTCCGGATACCTCCTGCTGGTTTAAAACCTATCTGAAAAAGGGTAGGACAAAGGCCATTGTTTTGTTTGAATGGCTTAAAATCGATTGAGGACTGGTTCTTGAACATCTTTGGTCCATGGATTCCTAGAAAGCTAGAGACTAACTCATTGGCAACAATTTAGTTCTATCTCACAAATACTTACTAAGCACCCTTTCCTCATGGAGTCTTGTAAAAGGTAAAACACAAACACAGAAAACTACAGTGCATGATAAGGGCATTGGAGAAGTATAAAGCAAAGTGTATTCTGAAGGTGGAGGCAATTTTCAAACAGAGGAACTTCATGCAGGAGGTAGCATTTGAACTGGGTTTGAGAGGATGGGTAGGAATTCAACAAAGAAGATGGAGGAGGAAGAATATTAAACAACAGGGAAATAGACATCAAGATGAATAACGTGCATTTTATAGTGCTTTAAATTTGGAAAGCATTTTTATTATAACCTTATCCCCATTATACGGATGAGAAAATTGAGTCTTAGAAAACTTGTACTGAAGCTCATGCAATTAGGATCAGAGCCGGGAATTGAAACCAGGTCTTCTAACTCCAAAATCTTTCCATTATATGTTGTCTCTTAAAGAGAAACAATAAACAGAACTAACAGCTGATCAATAACCTACAGTGACAACACAGACAGAAAAGATTATCAAAAGCAGGCACAAGATTTCAAAAAGTGGTCATGTGTATGTGTGTGTATATATGTATGTATTTTTACATACACACACATGTGTGAATATATGAATACACACACAAAAAATTTTCCAATCATGTTCAATATGAATCAATAAGTCTTTTGGGCACTGCATCTAAAGAGGGCTTCCATCTTTTAAAAAAAGAAGGAATATAGAAAACATAAACCTGAAATGAAGCCAGTTACAAAATATTAAATCTTTACTTTTCAGCAGGATCACTCACATGGACTGTGAAACACCCTTCACCTCAGTAACTTACAACTTTACAGCGTAGGATGCTGAACCCAGAAAGGACAGTGAAGGTAATTTAGCTCAACTTAGAGTTAGGATGAGAACATTCACTTTCTAGATCAATGGTTGTTGCATTTTCATTTGTTTTTTTTTTCCTATTAGGTCACAGTATCTAGTTATTAACTTGTTACCAATACAAGGGATTTTACCCAATTAGCAGACACATGCTCAGTTGCTCATTTTACAAACAAATGTAATTTGGCTTGCATTTCTATATTTCTAAGTGAAAGACAGAAATTTGTTCGTACTGCCTAAAGAAAGAAATCATCAATACAGTCACAAGAGACAGAATTGGGCTCTCAATAGTCAGTTATTAGTTTCTAAGAACAACTATTCAGTTTTCATAAGGTCTAATAAATGCACTAGTGGAATAATCTTGCTCGAAGACATCTTAGTTTAAAGAGGCAAAGGTCAGATCTATATTTGTGTTATTGCTATTCTGCTTAACTAAGGTATCATTGTCAAGCAATGTGGCTCTGTGTGTGTGTGTGTGTGTGTGTGTGTATGCCCACGCACTCACATGTAGAGCCCTAAGGCTGGAAAGAACACATCTCTTATAGATACATTTACTTTGTGTTTTTTTCAATATGTCAGGATATGGAGTTATTCATTAGGGAAAAAATTCTGGAAGGACTAGGCCCAACCAAACCAAAAAAAGGGCCCTCTCCATAAATGAACTTGAATTGTACCTACATATAAAGTTGTCACATCCAATTGGCAAAGGATTAAAGGATTTTTTTTTAAGTTTCCGTTCTGTGAAAGCGTAAAGATTGATTTTAAAGGGCTTCCCAGGAAGGGAAAGTAAAAATATTTTTAAGGCATGCTGCATTCACCCCACTTGTGTGTAAATAAAAAATACCCTAAGATAATTTGCAGCTAACAAGCAACTTGATACAAAAAGGAAAATCTAAGCACATTTAAAAAAAAATACCTCATACTTCTTTCCCTTTTAACTTCATATATTTCCCCCAAAATTATTATTTTTCAAAAGTTGACAAAGGCCAGCATATACCCTCCTCAGCTTAACAGTCTTCCAGAGAGCACATCCAACTGCCATAAAACGCAAAAATGGATATTTAATTCAAGAGCTATATAACGCCTAGCTACCTTTTCCCTGCTGTTTCACAGTATTTCATTATTTTGTTTAATAAGTTCATCTCCTCAAGAATTTTCTCTTCACCTCATATTATTAAAAGTAATAAGTTTTTCTGGACCAGGGGTTTCCCAACAGAAAACCAATTTATGTGTGTCCTTCAATAATGACAGGAAAAGATTATTTCCCATTATATTGCATACTTTTCATATCACCACCACAGCTTATCATTCAATAAATGTTAGTCTGCAATTTTTTCCGTTCCTCAAGGAAGTTTAATTTCTGCATTAACCTGTTTTCACTAGCCAATGCCTTGCCAGAAAGCCTCTGTGTAGCAGCAAAATTAGTTCGTTAAAGAATCCATTTAGGAATCTCTTGTCAGTGATAAAATTGTCTTCAGTTAATAAAAGGAGAGAAAGTCAGTTTACATCTTGGTCACACACACTTACACCTCCACTCACACTCACTTTTTGTTAATGGAACGTTTTTCACCATAAATTTATTCTTTTGTAATGAAAGGTAAATTAAACATTTATCTTAATAAAGGTAAGTCGTTCATGCCTTCAGTATTTTAAAAAAAACGGTTATCATGGCTGTAACTGGTATCATAAGCAATATTATTTTTATTTAGAAGAAAGATCGGCTTGCAATAAAGATACCTTGTTTCCAGTTTTCCAAAAGAAGTCTCTAATGGCCCGAACCATCACTATAGCTACAGGAAAGGTTGCATTTACTGCTTCTTTTCCCGTTGAGGTCTTAATGAAATCAGAACCTAAAACATAAAGAAAGAGAATTTTCAAGCTAATTAGAAAACTCTTTATAGTTTTAAATCAGATGAAAACTGAGTTGTGCAATGTTTAGAGAGAGCAAAAATTTACTTTAAATTCATTGAAAAAATAAAAACATCAAAAAAATTGAAATAAAATATTTTCCTTTAAAAAATCCTACACTAAATTTAAGTACTGATTACACATGTACTTCAAAAAAAAATTTAACTTCTCTTTATAAAATTCTACCCTGGATTTAACTATATTAGGTACACTTAAGTCTGGGATAAAATTTTTAAGGGAAGTTGTTGTTGTTTTTAAGTAATGAATTTAATAGTAAACTAAATGAGCCCAACTAATAGATCATAGAATCACAGAATTTGAAAGCTGGAAAGTTGAAAGGGACCCCAGAAGCCATCTAGTTCAACATGCACACAAAAGGAATCCCCATTACAACATATCCACCAAGTTCTCATCTAGCCTCATTTGAAGAACCAGAGGAGAACCCTACCGCTCATCACATTTTTGGACAGCTCTAAATGTTAGGAAGTTTTCCCTGTTATTGTCCATAAATCTGTCATTTCTACCAACTGCTTTTAGTTCTGCCTTCTGGGGCCAAACTGAAGTCCAGGCCTTTCTCCACATGTCAGCCTTTCAAATATTATCACGTACACCCTGAGTCTTCAGTTTTCCAGGATAAACATCTCAATTAGTACTTCAATTAGTCCTCATAGCACATGGACTCAAGGCCCCTCACCATACTGGCTGCCCTCCTCTGGAAACTCTCCAATTTATCAATGTCCTTCTTGAACTGGAGTATCCAGAATTGAACACAGCATTCTAAATAATGACTGTCTACTGAGGGCAGAGTAGTAGGAGGCCTATCACCTCTATTCCTGGAAGCTACGCCCTTCAATGTAACCTGAGATTGCATTAGCTTTTGGGGCTACCATATCAAACTGCTGATTTATAATGAACTTACAGTCCACTAAAACCCCTAGATATTCTTCATCATAACTGCTGCTTAACCATTCCTTCCCCATCTTATATTCATGAAGCTGAGACTTTTGTATTTGAGTAGATGACTTTAGTTTTATTGTTATTAAATTTCATCTTATCAGATTAAGTCTAATGTCCTAGTCTGACAAAGAATTTTTGGATCCTGATTATGTGTATTAGATATCCCTCCCACATTTACGTCATCAACAAACTTGAGGAGCATGACATTTATGCCTTTATCTAAGTGCATAATATAAAGATTAAATAGCACAGAACCCAACACAGATCGCTGGTGAACTCCACAGAAGACCTCTCACCTTACTGCTATTGAACCATTAATAAAGACTCCGAGTTTAGCCATCCAGCCACCTCTGATTGCATTAACATCAAATCTATATCCTTCCATTTTTCTATAATAATAGCATGAGATATTTTATTGAAAGTTTTGCTAAGATCTAGATAAACTATATCCAAAAAATTTTCCTCATCTATTAGTTTATTAATAGTGTCAAAAAAGGAAATGATATTCCACAATCTCACAGCTGTTTCTGTAATATGTCATTAATTAAAATAAAATCAGATCATTTTATCCAATAACTAAATAATGAAGAAATAAAGAAAAATTGTTATTTTTTCAAGATGTGTGGCAGCATAGTAGAGAGACAATTGGTTTTGGAATAAAGAATTGAATTTAAGCCCTTCTGTCACAGTCAACTCTCTAAGAAAAAAAAAGACTTGCTGATCTACATTGGAAATTGTAGTTTCCACACTGGGCATTTCCCACACTGATGGAATCACAGGTTCTAACCAAAACAAACAAAAAAGTCAGGTATGTGTATATGGTGAGATAGATAGATAGATAGATAGATAGATAGATAGATAGATAGATAGATAGATAGATAGAT